GGATGTTAAGCCTTTGTCAGACCTGGTGTTGGCAAATACTTTTCCCAGTCTGTAGGCTGTCTCCCTGCGCTCTTGATGGTTTCTATGGCCTTGCAGAAGCTTGTCAGTTTAATAAGGTCCCACTTGTCTATCTTCTATCTTATTGGCTGCCAGTTCCGATTTCCATGATGATATTTCTTTCATTTTCTAAGGTTCTTATAGTTTGAGGTTTTACATTTAGGTCTCTGATCCATTTGGAGTTAACCTTTGTGCATGGGGATAGATAGGGGTCCTGTTTCAATCTTCTGCATGTAGTCAGCCAGTTTTCACAGCACATTACTGAATAGGTTCTCCTCTCCCCAGTGGTAGGTGGTGGAGGCTTGTCAAAGATGAGTTGGTTGAGAAATTGAGGTTTTGCTTTTGGAATCTCAATTTTATTCCATTGATCTATATGCCTTTCCTATACCCAATACCAAGCTGTTTTGATGATTGTAGCTTTATAGTAAAGTTTGAAGTCTGGTAATATGATACCACCTGCTTTGTTTTTTTTGCTGAGGATTGTTCTGGTTATTCTTGGACGCTTGTGTTTCCATATGAATTCCTGTGTTGTCTTTTCTAGGTCTGAGAAGAATGTTGCTGGTAATTTGATGGGTATTGCATTGAATTTGTAGATTGCCTTAGGTAAGATGGACATCTTCACAATGTTGATTCTTCCAATCCATGAGCATGGGATATTTTTCCACTTGTTTGTGTCATCTTTGATTTCTTTGAGCAGTGTTTTGTAGTTTTCATGGTAAAGGTCTTTCACATCTCTGGTTAGGAAGATGCCAAGGTATTTCATTTTTTTGTGGCTATTGTGAATGGAATTGTGTTTTTTATTTGGGTTTCTGTTTGTTTATTATTGGTGTAGAGAAATGCAATTGTCTTTTGTATATTTATTTTGTATCCTGAGACTTTGCCAAAGGCCTTTATCAGTGTAAGGAGGTTTTTGACAGATTCTCTTGGGTTTTCAAGGTACACAATCATATCATCTGCAAAGAGAGATAACTTGACTTCCTCTTTTCCTATTTGGATACCCCTGATTGCCTCCTCTTCTCTGATTGCTCTAGCCAGGACTTCCAATACTATGTTGAACAGGAGGGGTGAGAGTGGGCATCCTTGTCTTGTTCCACTTTTCAGGGGAAATGGTTCCAATTTTTGTCCATTTAGGAGTATGCTGGCTGTGGGTTTCTCGTAGATGGCTTTTACTATTTTGAGGTATGTTCCCCGTATGCCTAGATGTTCAAGGGTTTTTATCAAGAAGGGGTGCTGGATTTTATCAAAAGCTTTTTCTGCATCTAATGATATAATCATGTGGTTTTTGCTTTGACATCTGTTGATATATTTAATTACATTTATGGTTTTACGAATGTTGAACCAGGCTTGCATCCTAGGAATGAAGCCTACTTGGTCATGATGGATGATTTTTGAGATGTATTGCTGAATTTGGTTTGCTAGTATCTTGTTGAGAATTTTAGCCTCTATGTTCATCAAAGATATTGGCCTGTAGTTCTCTTTCTTTGTTGGATCTTTACCTGGCTTGAGTATCAATGTGATGTTGGCTTCGTAAAATAATTTGGGGAGAGCTCCATCTTTTTCAATCACCTGGAATACCTTCAGTAGGATTGGTATCAGCTCCTCCTTAAATGTCTTGTAGAATTCTGCTGGAAAGCCATCTGGATCAGGGCTTTTTTTTGTAGGAAGTTTTCTTATTATGTAGTCGATTTCCTTGATTGTTATTGGTCTATTTAGGGTCTCAATTTCTTCTTGTTCCAACCTAGGTAGGTTTTGTGATGTCAGAAAGTCCTCCATTTCCTTAAGGTTTTCAAGTTTGTTGCCATACACGTGTACGTAGTAGTCTCTAATGATCTTTTGTATTTCTTCAGGGTCAGATGTGATTTCATCTTTTGTGTTTCTGATTATGCTTATTTGGTTTTTTCCTCATTTTTTCTTGGTCAGTCTAGCTAGGGACCATCAATCTTGTTTATTCTTTCAAAGAACCAGCTTTTTGTTTCATTGATTTTTTGTATTATCTTTTTGTCTTCTATGTCCTGGATTTGGGCTTTTATTTTGGTGATCTGGATTCTTCTGCTGAAATTAGGGTTTTTGTGGTCTTGCTTTTCCAGCTTCTTTAGATGGCTTGTTAGGTTGTTAATTTGTGTTCCTTTCATTTTCTTCATGTGTGTTTGTAGGGATATCAATTCCTCTCTTACTATAGCTTTCAAGGCATCCCAGAGATTTTGGTAAGCTGTTTCTTCATTTTCATTTGTTTCCAGGTATCTTTTGAACTCTGTTTTGATTTCATCATTGACCCAGGAGTTGTTTAGCATCATGCTGTTTAGTCTCCATGTCTTTGTGGGTTTTGGGGAGACTTTGTTGGTGTCAATGTCTATTTTTATTCCACTGTGGTCCAAGAAGGTGCATGGTAGAATTTCAGTCCTTTAAAATTTGCTTATGCTTGATTTATGGCCAATTATGTTGTCTATCCTAGAATATGTTCCATGCGGTGATGAGTAGAATGTATATTCTGTGGTCTTTGGATGGAGTGTTCTGTAGGTATCAATTAAGTCCATTTGTCCAAAGTCACATTGAGGTTCCAGATCTCCTTGCTGATTTTTTGTCCTGATGATCTGTCTAGGGTTGTGAGTGGGGTATTAAAGTCCCCAGTTATGATGGTGTTAGAGTCAATATCTTTTTAAAATTTTCCTAGGAGTTGCTTTATGAACGTTGGCGCACCTATGTTGGGTGCATATATGTTTAGGATAGATATTTCTTGTTGATAGATTGAGCCTTTTATCATTATGTAGTTGCCTTCTGTATCTTTTTTGATTTTTAATAGCCTGAAGGGCATTTTGTCTGAAATTAAAATCGCTATTCCTCCTTTCTTTTGTATTCCATTTGCCTGAAAGTTTGTTTCCCATCCTCTTACTTTGAGTCTGTGGGTGTCCTTTCTAGTGAGGTGAGTCTCTTGAAGGCAATAGATTGTTGCCTGATGATATTTTATCCATTTTGCCATTCTTTGTCTTTTCAGTGGTGCATTTAGTTCATTCACATTTAGGCTAATAATTGAAATGCAAGAGCTGATCCCTGTCATAAGGTTCTTACAGAGTTGTTCCTGTTTATTTGTTATCTTTCTTTGAGTTCTGGAGTTGGCTCATGTGTGCTTTTAATCTTTTGCCTGTACTCTTGTGAAGAATGTTGTTGTTCTTTTTTCTTTTTCTTCTGTGTTCAGTACTTTCTTAAGTGTTTCTTGTAGAGGTGGTCTGGTGGCAGCATAGGTTCTTAGTGATTGGATATCTGGAAAGGATTTCAATTCTCTCTCACTAATGAAGCTTAGTTTGGCTGGGTAGATTATTATTGGTTGAAATTGTTTACCTTTTAGAACTTTGAAGATAGGGCTCCAGGCTCTCCTTGCCTGAAGGTTTTCTGCGGATAAATCTGCTGCTATTCTAATTGGTCTTCCCTGGTAGGTAGTCTGGACTTTTTCTCTTGCTGCTTTTAGGATTTTTTCTTTTATAGCTACTTTGTTTAGGCGAATTATGTGTCTGGCAGTTGGTCTTCTCATTTGTTGTCTTGCAGGGGTTCTCTGAACCTCTTTCGTTTGAATTTTTTCATCCTTGATGAGATGAGGGAAGTTTTCTTGAATGATTTCATGAAATTTTTGTTCCAGTGTGGCTTCTGTTTCTCTCTCTGCCTCAGGAAGCCCAATTACTCTTAGGTTTGGTCTCTTGAAGTGATCATTCATCTCTTGCAGGTTTTGTTCTGTCTTTTTGAGCTTCTTTCTATTCTTTTGACAGTTTTGGTTAGTTCTGTGTTTTGGTCTTCGAGCTCTGAGATTCTTTCTTCTGCTTGACTGATTCTGCTTTCCATGCTTATTAGTCTGTTATTCATTTCCATCACAGTATTCTTTACTGCTGTTATTTCTGACATCAGCTCCTTCCTATTTTCCTCTTGTCTCTCAATTTTTCAAATTCTCTCCATTAATGTCTTGATGTCTGGGTTTGTTGCATATGACCAGCCATTCTGGGGGCTCTTCAATGTTTGTGTTCCAGAATCTGTTTTCTCAGTGTCTGATCTCCCAGGGGTCTGTGTGAGACCTATATTCATCTTTTGGTTTTTCTTCATTTGTGCAGTTTTTCCCCCTCCCTACTTTTTCCTTCCCTCCACATCACCGTCTTCTTTAATTCTGGTATTCAGGGGTAAAGGGATTGGTTTTACTTCTGTTTGTTCAATCTCCTATTCTTTATGTATGCCCTCTTACTTTGTTCAATTCTGGAGTTGCACTGTAGGTTGGGGGTGGTCCTTTTTGCAGTTTTGAAATTTACTTAAGGGGGGAGCTGTGATTCAAAATCTGTCTGCAGGTACTAGTATTCACTGACAAGTGTGTGGATAATCTGGAACCCACTTCCCACTACCTTGGAATCTGTCCATGCAGTGGGCCTGTAGGTTTACTCCCTGAAATAAAATGTGGTTAGCCGAGGGAAGAGAATGGAGCAGACAGTGGGTTGAAGAGGGGGGTGGAGAGTTAGAGGAGTAAGGGAGGAAACAAACGTGTGCCAACAAATGGAGAGAGAGACCTATACTGAAACAGATAAAAACAATAGACCTCAGCTACTGACGAACCAATTCCCATACAAAAAAAAAAAATAAAACATATAGTGATGCTAACATACAAGCTAATCAACCACCTTATTGGTGTGCTGCTCCTCTATACAAAGATATGGTTTACAGAAAGAAGAAAAGGAAGAGGGGGGAAAAGAAAGGAACAATACAGTAGGAATAGAATTAAGTCACTAAACTAATATAATCAATGAAGCACACTCTGAGGCTTTTTGTTTAAGTCTAATGTCCTTTCAGTTCTGATTTCTAGCTTTCTTTTCTTTTTTTGAATATTTTAAGCCTACAGAGTTAATCTGGGGGCAGTGTAATAATATTGCTACTTTTAGAGCACTAACACACAGAAAGTGAATCCAATAGAGTTCTGTGTATTGACTATTAAGTATTAATTGCATGACCATCATAGCACCTCTTTACATCACACAATCACCAGAATTAGAAACTGCTTTGAAAACTAAAAACAGGGCACAGTCCAATAACTCGAAGTGGCACACTGCTACTATATAGAAACCAGGTGCATGGTACAGTGCTGCTGCAAAAACGGAAGCCAAATCGTGTTTGTAGACAATTTTAGGAAACTGGCAATACTGTAGAAGCAACACAGCAGCAAATGGACCAAAAAAGAAAGAAAGCATTCTATAACCAAATAAACATCTGATATTTCCTTTCCCTTTGAGAATAAATACAGTTAAGGTCACTTTTAGCCTTGGAACAGATATATGTTTGCCTATGATGATCTTGCTAATGACTACACGATATCTGATGTCCTCTGCTAGGATTATAGTTTTAAGAAAGTCATAGTTACAAGAGGCATCTACTGTAAATACCTAGAACTTCCTTTTATGGCAACCACTATAGAATTCACTTGTCTTAAACAGTGAACAGGGAAGATGGCCTCATGTTTCCTTTGCAATAATAATATATATTGAGGATCAAGTGGCTTTCAAGCAGCATGGTGGGTGTGAAAATGTCTGCATTTTAGATCATTCTGTTGTGTTTATGGGTTGGTGAGTCTGTAATGACATCGCCACACTGGGCTGAGGTACACTTTCTAGTTCCACCATTGTCCAAGTGGAGTGCCATTTCTTCTGATATGAAAGTGTTCAAATCAGCATCATGGAGTCCATTTCTCCTTCGACTACCATTCGATCCACTGCTTACATGGGTAGGAGAGCCTGGGGTTCTCGAGCACATGCTTATACTAGCCATTGCACCACTAAGACCATGCAGAGCTATGGCTTCCCGGAAGGGTTGCAAATCAGTTAGGGGACACTACAGTCAGTCTTGGGGGAGCTTTAGAGTTTCATGGTGGAGGAAATTTTCCACACAGGAAGCTGATCAAATCTTCTCTACGAATAGTTCTTCTGCGTTTTTTAACCCAAGCCAACACATCCTTATTGTGTCGCTGATAGCCAATCTGAATTTCAATATCAAAACTTCCCTGGTGGGTATCCACGCTTTCTTTGTAGAGGTTGGTGACGGCGGTGGCTGCGTTTTGGAAGGGGACCCAGAGAGAAAGTCCTGGCTGCTGACACACTCGGTCTTTGTAGAGCTGGGCCACAGTGGTGGCCGAGTTCTGGAAGAGGTGCCACAGCTTCTGCTGCTTGTGCTTGGGCTGTGTGGCGGCCGCCGCCTCCTCCTGCAGCTCGGGGGGCAGCTGCTCATCCTGCTCGGCCTCGGCCAGGCACTGCCGCTCCCACTTGGAGAACCAGTGCTCCGGCCCATGCTCCTGGATCTCAGCCTCGCCCTCCTCCTTCCACTCCTCCATCCCCCGCAGCCTCCTGCGGCCTCGCCGCCACTGCGTCCTCCTCAGGCAGGGCCCCCGTGGAAGCGTCATCATTGAGTGGCCCGGTGGTGGGGTCTAGCTTTCTTTTCAAGCAGGTAAATTAGTTTGCAGTTAGGGTCAGTTGTCCCTGGTCTGCTGTGAAGGACAGTTCAGATCACCCTCCTTTCACCACTCTGGCCTATGTCCTTTTCAAGCTTGTTTCTCCCATTTCGGTGTTGTTACCTTGAATCGCCAGCAGGTGGTGCTATCTCAGCTGCTCGCCCCAGAGGGGGTGGGGCCGGACAGGAACTGACAGAGACTGGAGATGGATGCCTGCCTCAGGGCACGGGCAGTGGACTCACGGTGGGCAGGACGTCTCGGTCTCGGGAGAGGTGGATTGCCTCCAGCCCGGGTGGTGCGATGTGCTACCGGTGGCAGCTGTGGTGGCTGTGGCTGTGGCAGCTGCGGCGGCAACGGCAGCTGCGGCGGCAACGGCGGTTGCGGTGGTGTCTGTGCTGTGGTGGCTGTCCAGTCTGCTGCAATGTCCCAGCGGTGAAAACGACCGAGCTCCGTATGAAGAGCAGGCTGCAATGTTGGGGTCCGCAGCCCTTGGGGTGAGAGCCAGAGACCCACTGCAGTTCTCCTTTGCAGAGGGTTTCACAGACCCCATTCTATTTTTTCTCCAGCTTTCTATAACCATTCAGTTTTATCTATCATTTTTTTTTTATTCCTTTAATGTAAAACACTTTTTTGGTATGATTTTTGGATGCTCTTTTCATTTAAATTTTTTATTTAAAATATGTGGGGTACAATTCAGGGTTAGGTATACAAATGTTCATTATGCAGGTACCCTTGTTGACAAGGTGTGCCCCCTCCCCTGGCAGTTTCCCACTACTGCCAATACTTTTCTTATAGTATTATGATAGTTGTTCAAAGTTCACTTAGGAGTGAGAACATGTGATACTCGGTTCTTTGTTTCTGCGATAGATCACTCAGTATTATAGTCTCTAAGTCCATCCAAGTTGCTGCGAAGTTCATAATTTTGTCCTTCTTTTTGGCTGCATAATATTACATCATGCATATGTACCACATTTTAAAAATCCAGTCCTCTTTCAATGGGCAGCATGGTTGGTTCCATGTTTTGCTATTGTAATAATGCTGCAATAAACATGCGTGTGCAGGTGTCTTTTTCATAGAGTGGTTTGAGTTCCTCTGGGTATATTCCCAGTAGTGGGATTGTGGGGTCTGGGAGGTCGATTTTCACATCTTTTAGGAATCACCACACTGTTTTCCAGAAGCTGTACTAGTTTACACTTCCACCAACAGTGTAGAAATGTTCTTTTTTCACCACATCCTCTCCAGCATCTGTTATTTTTTGAGTTATTGATGATTATGAGTTATTGATAATGGCCATTCTGACTGAAGTTAGGTGGTATCTCAGTGTGGTTTTATTTTGCATTTTTTGATGACTAGTGAGGATGAGCATTTTTTCATGTATCTGTTGGCTGCTCGTATGTCTTCTTTTGAGAAGTGTCTATTCATATCTATCTTTAGTTTTATTTACCAAAGATTACTGACGTCACATGAACTTGAAAAGCATTTGTGCTTATGTACTTGATTCATGAGCACTCATTTATTTATAAGTCAGTTTGGTGCCATGTAGGCAATATACAAAGTCATGTATACATGTGTACATAAAAATAAAGATAAACAAATAAATATCTTAAAGCTTTTATTTTAACATTTTAGTCATGAGACAAGTAATACTCATTAGTTTAAAAGAGCAGTTAAATTAAATTTGTTCCTTTCTAAATGCAACAAGTTATGGCCAAAGCTCTTATCAGGTTTTAGGAAAAAATAGTAGCACATTTACATCTCAAAGCACAGAGCAAGAACATAAAGCTTCCTAAAAGGAGTTTGAATGTTTTAGAGGAAGATTAAAAATGAATGTTTTAGAGGAAGATTAAAAATGAATGCTAATATAACACAAAATCATAGGAATTTGCCCCAAGATTTTACAAGGAGACCAATTTCATTTTGATAGGTAGCTTCTAATTTAATCTCTGTTTTCCAACTGAGCCACTGAGCTCAGGATGAAACCCACTAATGAATAAGGCCAACAGAGAATTTGCTGTTTTCAGGGCTTAATACGTATATATGTGAAACGCAGGTACAGCTGGAAGGCAAAACACCTATATCCCCCAAATTAAGAATTTCATCTTTACATTGAATCCCAGGTTCCAAAGAGAGGAATACATCATGGGACCAAACCATCAATGATTCCACAGCTCTTTTCCTGGTTCTTCTTGGCTCTTGACTGTCTTCTTGCTATGTCCTCACATGGTAGAAGGGGCATGGTCTCTCAGGTCTCTTTTGTAAGGCCACTAATCCCTCATGACCTAACCATCTCCGTACAGCCAGCAAATAGAGATACCTGCAAATAGTATCACATTGGGTATTAGGTTTCAACAAATTTTAGGGGGACACAAACATTCCATCTATAGCAACATATGATATGTATATATACATGTATGTGTTATAGTTGCTTTTCCTTATAAGGCAGCTGTCATAATTTCATTCATTTGATTGTAATAATTTTTAAGTAAAAACAAAGAATGATTCAATGAAGCCAGCTAAAAAAAATACCATGACTGGGTAGAGCGGCTCACACCTATAATCCCAGCACTTTGGGAGACTGAGAAGGGAGGATTGTTTGAGATCAACGTGGGCAACACAGTGCTAGAAAAAAATTGAAAAATTTAGCAGGATGTGGTGGTGTGCATCTGTAATCCCAGCTACTCTGAAGGCTAAGGTGGAAGGATGACCTGAGTTCAGGAGGTTAAACAGCAGTGAGCCATGATTGTATCACTGCATTCCAGCCTGAATGACAGATGACAGAGTGAGACTCAGACTCAAAACAAATAAAACAAAATAAAATAAAACAAACAAAACAAAAACCCTTTAATGTGAGTTCTTTTGGAGATATTCACAGAGTTGAATTTGGATTGGTCTGCCTTTGGGTGTCATGTTTGGCTCACAGTCATATATTTGTTGCCTCAAGGAATATTTATGTTCTTCATATTAAAAAGAGTTGGTGACAGAGTTAGGGCTCAAATATGGATATTATGACACTCCAATGTTACACACTCAGGTAGGACTGGGTGCTTCATCCAACTTGTGGAAAGAATTGGGAGTTTTATCTGGTGCCTTTACTCTTATCTTACCCATGTTCACTCCATTGCCATCAGCCACATCCAAACTTATCATGTCACTTCTCACTTGAAATTCTTTTTTTTCCTGTCTAGTGCTTTTAGCACAAAGCACAGCCTCCTCTATGTGGCCAATAAGGCTCTATGTGTTGGCGCCCTGCTTTCCAACACTGTTCATCTCCCTGCATTTCCTCATCATACTCTGTGCTGCAATTATAATTAATTGCTTCTTTATTTTAAAGTATCCCATGTTCTCATCTTGCCAGTGAGCCTTTGTTCCCACCATGTCCTCTCCTGGAATGCTCTTGCTTATATTCATACCCAGAAGATCCTCATCCTTGGTTTTAACTGGGACATCAGTTCCTCAGGGAAGCCTTCCTGACTTCCCCCAACTTTCTTCTATGCCCAATTAACTTTTATTAGCACCTCACACTCCGTATTTGTTTAGAATTCTCACCACCTTCTTAAATTATAAACCTAAGTCCACCCTGGAAAAATCAAGGAGATAGCCACAATGATTAAGACTTCCAGGAGAAACAAGAAGTCAAGCCCATCTTCTCACTTTTAGTTCTCTTATTTGACCAGTGTGGGAAGAAGAGATGATCCAGAGACTGTCTGCAGAAGACCACCATTTTGTCCTGTTGGTGTCTGTGGTCATGCAACTGCTCCTGAATGTCAACTTCACTAGAGCAGAGAAATGATGGGTAGTAGCAGAGCTTGATGATGGACTATTCTTAATCTCTGAGCACCTATGCACAGAACAACAGAAACAGTTTGTCTTTATCTGGCAGAGGCAGCAATGTGCCTTTGTGGTGCTACCCTAAACATAGAAACACCTCTGTGAGTTAGTCTTTGTTATGTAACCATTTCACACTTACACACTGTATTTTCCTTTGTAAAACATATCAGAAGAAGACAGAATCATTAATGCAATGGGATCAGATCAGAACCAAACAATTATTAAAACTATTATGAATAAATTGAGTTAAAAAGTTAAGTCCAGGCCGGTCTCGGTGGCTCAGCCTGTAATCCCAGCACTTTGGGAGGCCGAGGTGAGTGGATTGCCTGAGCCCACGGGTTCGAGACCAGCCCTGGGCAACTTGGCGAGACCTCATCTCTACAATAAATCAAAAAATCAGCCGGGCATGGTAGCGCATGCCTATAATTCCCGGTACTTGGAAGACTGAGGCAGAAGGATCGCCGGAGCCCAGCAGGTCGAGGCTGCGGTGGCTGGGAGCGGCCACTGCACTCCAGTCTGGGCGACAGAGTGAGACTCCGACTCAAAAAAAAAAAAAAAAAGTTAAGTCCAGGCCTGGGTATGGTGACTCATGCCTGTTATTCCAGCACTTTGGGAGGTTGAGGTGGGAGAATCTCTTGAGCTCAAAAGTTCAAGACCAGCCTGGGCAACATAGTAAGACCATATCTCTTCAGGAAAAAACAGTTAAGTTCAGGATGTTGAAATATGTAGCCCCATTTGCTCAAAAATTTGCTAATAGATTGCAGTTTGAATGTGATGTTTCCATATCACATTTCGGTTAGTGCTATAGGCCAACTTGTAGTCACTTCTTTGTTTCCACAACTCCACCTGCACTGGCGTGCTTTGCTATTCCTCAGACAGACCAGGTGCTCTCTGGTCTCTAGATCTCGCTGTTCTGCGCCAGGCATCCTCTCCCTTTTCCACATGTATGGCTTAGTAAGCTCATCTCCTTACCAATAAGTCCTCCTTGGATTATTCAATTAAAAATGGTCCTTGTTTCTCTAAAGGTTAAGCATGGAATCACCATATGACCCAGTGATACCCTCCTATGTATATACCCAGAGAAATGAAAACATATGTCTGCACAATAACTTGTACTGGATGTTCATAGCAGCATTATTCATAACAG